TGCGTACTTTATTATTGTATTAACTTTAATCGTGGAAAAGCATTTGTTATTCTATTAACGCAATAAAAACTTCTTGGTGTTGGAAAAATATAATTGTTCGGCCGGTAAAAGTAGACCTCCGGCATCCCCTTAAGCAATTTTACAACTTTTTAACCATAAGAACATAGTGGCCACCATGAAAAAAATTTTATAGCCATTCGCCGATTTTTGTCATATTCAGGGTACTCCAAAGTTGAAAAGAACGTGAAAAACAAATTTTGTTGTTGTACTGTACAATTGCTTTTTAGGTCAAAATAAAGATAGAAAAAATCTATAATTTTTGTTATTTTCATTCATTTGTAACTAGTCTACTACATATTTCCGCAAAAATTTTGACAATTATTCCAATCGATAGAGCAAAGTCTCAGCTTTAATCATTGTTTTTTTTAAATTGTGGTACAATGATTTTCAGCAAAGTTATAAACAATTAAAGTCATGCTCATTTTTTATTTAATTAGCGATAACTCAGTAATTAAAACTCATCAAATAGTATCTTATATGGCAAGTGCAGAAAACAACGAATTACGTTGCGCATGAAGTTGTCGCATAAGCCGAAGGCTGTATGGACATACACCATTACATAAAACCCGAGAATTGGTTTCTCAGCGTTGGCAACACTGAAACCGGAGTTTCGCGTTGTCACCGCATGAGGCCTCCAACATCAATTCGAAGTTTGTCTGGATCGCCTGCCGATCCTTTATCGCCAAAATGAAATGTGAGATTTGGACAATTATTAATATGAAATGTAATGTATTTATCTCTCAATTTTTCGGTAATAAAATCTTTGTGACAGATTCAGCTGCTTCTATAAGTTCTAGAGGCGTAGATAGTCTTGTGAACACTCGTTTCTTTTATCTATTTTATCCTTCTTGAATAATGAAGGTTATAACGAATTGACGTTTTGTCTCGCATGAATTTTGTTACGTTCAAGTTTGTTATGTCAGTCGAGAAATGGTAAAACAAAAACAAGGTTTTTTACGCACTAGTGCGAAAAAGTAACTCATATTACCGCACTAGTGCGGTAAAGTAAATCATAAAGATGCTTTTCTCGCACTAGTATGATAAAGTAAGACATACATTGAATCGTTGAGAAATAAGCCATTTTCCACGCTAAACAGCAATCGAAAATCGAACTTTTGCAACAGATGTTGCAAAAAGATTTTTAAAAAAACAATGTTGTTAAGAAAACTTCAAGCTTTAACACCAAAGACTTCAAAAACTTTGTAATTTTTTTTACACACGTTGTAGGTCGGCAAAGTAGGCAGAAAATTTCTAATTTTGTCCAAGTCGTAGTTTTCTGCGTGTAAAAATTATCAAACTAACAGAAATTTTAAAAAATTGGAAGTTTATTTATATAAAGTAGAGATTTAAAACATAAAACCTTTTTTTAAAATTTGAATTTCGTTTATTTTTAACGAAGTTACAGCTGATTGAATTTTAACTATTTTTTAAGGAAAATTTAAGCATTCCTCTAATTTTTTTGATTAGTGTATTTTAATTCAGATTTACAATGGATTAATTACATAGGTCGACAAATTTTAAAACCCATAGATTAGACTAACAAGGGAACCATCACAAGAGTCCGACACCGATTTGATTTTCCTTGAAATATGTTATAAAGTATACAAATTTAAGGTACACGTATTTTTTTTATACCTGCCTAATCGAAAGTTTAGGGAGTGATTCACCCTTATGAAAAAATGAATTTTTTCTTTTATAAAGAAAACTAAATTATTTAGAAATTATAAAGAAAACTAAATTGGCCGAACACTTATGATACTTCTTCCAGTTGAGCGTTTCTTATAAAGGGAGGTATGTGTGTTTGTATCACATTTTTAACAAAATTTATTTTCCGAAAAAAAATGTATGGCAATTTTGTACCATATCATAGAATTTGTTATAAAATTTTCTACAATTTGCTAATAACAAAAATATATAAATTTTCATACTTGGACGGGGAAAGATTTCGAAAAAATTTTAATTTTTTAAAATTGGGAGTGCACAGGCATAAAGTGCATAAAAACCCGAGTTACTTTTGTTTCAAACATTTTTTTATATCTCTTTTTGTGTTTAGATGATATTATTCTCTTGGAAAAGAAAAAATTTATCTTTTCATAAAGGTGAATCACCCCCTAAATCTTCGATTGGGCACGTATAAAAAAATACGTGTACCTTTTTATATATTAAATAGGCATTGCATAATCTTGAAAAGAAATGAAATAATAACTGCAGAATTATTAATGGCAGTAAAATTATGTGACAAAATTATAATATTTTATATTCCCGGATAGCAATGCCTGATTATCAGATTGCATTGACATGATCTTCTGGTTTTGATTGAAATGTGTTGTATATCTTGTAATCATATTATAATGAGATATTATAAGCACAAGTTACATACATTTGACGAAAAATGTGAGCTCAAATATTAATTTGAGCATTATTTATGTACTCATATTGACATTTTTTGCAAAATTTTAAAAATAAATATGACCGTGTTTTGAATAGCATATGAGCCTGCATCTCTGTCAATTTTTGTCATTATGTTTGTAAGAATATGAATACAATATGAGTACAGAATGCATATGTTTTGCTGTCTGGGTTCTTATTATAAGTGCATAATACTCGTATTGTGTAACATATGTATACAATATAGTTTATACTTTATTATTACAAATTGTAAATATATATTTTTTTACAGTTTAACATCCAATTACATTTAAAAAATTTTATAATGAAATTTGAAAAGATTGTAAATGATGAAGTACTGGTGAAAAAACCACATAAGATTGAATGGCAAATTATTTGGGCAAATGTTATTATTGTCATATATATTCATTTTACTGCCCTTTATGGAATATATTTAACCATTTTTTATCCTATTAAACTTTGGACTTTCATCTGGTGTACGTATTTCATTTATTTAACCTATTATTCCATAATATATTTATAACTACACACATTAATAGAAATAATATAGTAAATTATTAGCAAACGTTTATTTTGAATTAATAAACTTTATAAGAATTCCATATAATATATACATATTAATATAGGGGATTAATAATTTGATAAATTTCTCAAAAGTAAATTGATCAAAATGTTCAATTCTCAATTTAAGAGTTATTTTTGTGGTATCATATCAACGAAAAAGTGCCTTGAGCACACCATCGATGAATTTAATTTCATCGAAACTAATGTGCCAACATTCGACTTTCGTGCTTATTTTATGTTTAATATGATTAAATGAAAATTTACAGTCTTCGCTGTTGGTATATTTTCAAATATAGGATCCACTGCTGGCGTTCATAGATTATGGTCTCATCGGTCTTATAAGGCAAAGTGGCCGATGAAACTTATTCTTATGATTTTCCAGACTATTTCGTATCAAGTAAGTTTTAATTTAACTTTTTTTCTTTCATATTTAAGTATAGTAAAGGACTCACACTTATGTATATGGGCTATTGATTAAAGTTTTACATTTTGTTTCTTTTAAAGCGCAATAAACAATCTATGAAGGTTGTAGGAAAAGTACGAACTCGGCCTCTGAATTCGAACAGAAAAACTCTAAAAACTTATCTGTAAAAAAATAAAAAAGGCGCTTAGTATGGGCTTACCAGTAGTGAAAATTTACGCATGCAAACCCATGTAGAATCCTATGAAAAATTAATCATTGCAAACCCATGTAGAATCCTATAAAAATTAATTATTGCAAACCCATGTAGAATCCTATGAAAATTTAACCATTGCAAACCCATGTAGAATCGTACTACAAAAGTAATAATATTAAAAAAGAAAAAAATTGCGCCAAGTATAAATAGACACTTGTACCAATGGAAAATTCAAATTGCAAATCTATATAGTCGTATGATGAACTAGTAAAAATAAAAAATTTTAGTTAAAAAACTTGGGACGCTATTGTAAGAATAAAGTGATAAAGGATGACTAAAAGGAGCAAGAAAGATCAGATTTTAATGAGTCCAATAATATATTTCGTAGTTTAATATTTTTAGTCAATCTTACTTCGGCGATGGCTCGAGGAAGACTCCCCATTTTCGTTGTCCGTACTTAGAACTTTTTCCCCTACTTTCTCGCAGGCTCTCGTTTTCCTACGTCTCGCGTAAACACGTATTGTTCGCTTATTATTCTCTTCGACTTTCACATTCCTTTCTCGCTCGATCATCGCTCTCGTTATTATTTCTACTACACATTCAATTCTGTGCAAAAACCTTCGATTATTTTTTTTCTCACAGAACGGAAAACATTTATTTGATTACTGGTTCGACTGTTTGTACGAATTAGGAAGGATGTGATCTGGATAAATTACTCGTGGTTTGTTAAATGGGTGACTTTATTCAAAATAATTAAAGTGAAAGTAAACTTGATTTGCTATCTAGGCTTTGCTCGCGAAAAACTCCACCGAGCTCTTGAGATGATCGTTCTCCACCGAGCTCTTCGGGCCGACCTCTCTTCAAAATACGCAGGATCGACGGCAACGACAGCCGATCGATCCTTCGCTTGGACGCGTGGCACGCGCGTGCCGAAACGTGATTCGCTAGCGAGGCTCGAAGGCTCGAGACAAAGGCGCGTTTTTGTCAACTTCTCGTGCTCGGAATTGAAAATACGCGGAATAACAACTCGGCGGCGAATATATTTGTGACCTTGCTTTAGCATTCTCGCAAGGCTTTTATAATTTTAAACATATCGCCCGCCTTACATGCGAACAAATGCGAAAATATTTTTACCGCTCTACAAGTAAAGTACAAATACAATCGGTGCTGATATAGGAACAATAAAGCGAGAGCTAAGAGAGCGAACATTTATACAAAATAAACTCAAAATATTTCTAAATTATAAGGACGACTTACGGAACAATATAAATATAAGCACTGAATACATCACAAGTCACAAAGTCCTTTATATGACAATGTTTTTCTTAATTATCGCACTGAACTGACAGTCTACACAGTAGCGTGATTGGTCGTTTCAATATTGAACAACGCGATTCTCACGGTAACTACTCGAACGAGTCCGTCGGATCCGGGATGGACCCGAGTGACTCGCGCGAGTTCCCATTTGCTCGGAGGGAGCAAAGGATTTTTTAACAACGTGAGCTCGCCAACGCGAAAACAAGGCGATCTTTCTGACCACTTATATCGCTGTTGCAGCGAATGTAAGTAGTCTTGCGACCAAGCACGCCAGAGTTGTTCCACCATCGAATGAACGAACTGCCATCTCGAAAGTCGATTCGTATTTATCGCGAGTATTGATTCCTCCGGTATCGCAACGATCGGTCGGCCTATTAAAAAATGACCCGGAGTGAACGCGGACAGATCGCTCGGGTCGTCGCTAAGAGCCGCAACGATCGGTCGGCCTATTAAAAAATGACTCGGAGTGAACGCGGACAGATCGCTCGGGTCGTCGCTAAGAGCCGCAATCGGTCGGGAGTTCAAACATGCCTCTATCTGGCATAGGAGCGTAGCGAATTCAGCCTGCGACAGGGTACGCGAACCGGCTATCCGCTTTAGATGCGATTTGAGGTTTTTCACGCCCGCCTCCCAAAGTCCTTCGAAATGAGGAGCTGCGGACGGGATAAAATGCCACTCAATTTTATCGTTAGCAAGAACGTCGTGTAGAGACGAATCTTTCATGAGCGCCTCAAATTCGCTGTTTAATTCCTTTTTAGCGCCGTGAAAGTTAGTTCCGTTAGAGTATAACTTACACGGTAAGCCTCGTCGGCTCGTGAATCGCCGAAAGGACGCAAGAAATCCAGCACTGAAGCAATCCTCCACTAGCTCCACGTGGATCGCCTTGATAACGAGACAAACGAATAGAACCACGTAATAACCTTTTCGTGTCTTTTGTCCTCTTCCAACGAAAGGCGTAATAAAAAAAGGACCAACGTAGTCCACACCCGTATGCGTAAACGGTGACGACGGTTGCATGCGAGGAGAAGGCAAATCCCCCATCAGCTGACTCGATACTCTAGCTGAATAACGTATACACGCATTGCATTATATGATTTTTCACTAAATTTCGACCTCCTAGCAACCAATATCTTTGTCGGAATGTACGCAACACTAATTGAACTCCACCGTGGAGAGTGTGTTTGTGAGCCTGAGCGATTAAAAGGTACGAGACTTGTCCTCGCGGTACTAAAATAGGATGTTGCTCTTCGTATGTGAGAGCAGCATTTTTCAACCGCCCGCCAAAGCGAAGTACTGCATCTTCGCCAACAAATGGAGTTAAAGTTCTAAGTGAACTTTTCTTCGAAACTGCGTTGCTTTTCTTTAGTGCTTTGATTTCGGATTCAAAAGCCTTCTTTTGTACGTACGACAGCCAAAATAATTCCGCTTTATTAAGCTTGTTGACACTCAGCGACGAGGTTGATTTGAAATTAACTTTCCTTTTCTTATCAATTAACGCGAGAAATCTACACACGTAAGCAGTTACTCTTATCAGCTTTGTCCAACTCGAGAATTTATAGAGCAAATCCCACTCGTCTGACCCTTCAACGTGAAGGACGGTGGGTTTTCGTTGCTCGCTAGATATCCTTTATACTGCATTCATGGAGAGTGGAGCAGTAACTTCATGGATCGGCCAGGACGTGGAAGGCTCTCGAAGCCAGGGTAGTTCGGTCCACCACAGAAGATGTGATATTAATTTGGACGCGGATAAGCCTCGAGACGCACAATCCGCGGGATTGTCTCTCGACGGCACGTGATACCATCTTGCAGAAGGCAAATTATTTTGTACCTCCGATATCCTATTGGCCACGTACGTGGTCCACTTAGAGAGATGCTGGCGTAGCCATGCCAGCGCGATTGTTGAATCCGTCCAGCAATAGATTGGAGTTTTTATTAAGTTTAACAAATTAATCGTTTACTTTATTAGGCGACTTAACAGCACGGCGGCGGTTAACTCGAGTCGCGGAATGCTCACGATTTTTACTGGAGCGACCTTTGTTTTTGCAACGATCAAACTAATTGTAAAATCCGACAATGAATGAAAGACGCGAATATATACTACCGCGGCATACGCTCGATTTGACGCGTCGGCAAATTCGTGGATTTAAATCGCTATATTGTCTGGATTTTGACCCGTCCATCGCTTAATTCTAATTTTCTCTAATTTATTGTATTAAAATCTGAGACAAAGTCATGCCATCGTTGTTCTAACTCGTCGGGAATGCGCGTATCCCAATTGCATCGCGAAAGCCACAGCTCTTGCAAAAGAATCTTCGCGGTAATTACGACGGGAGCGGCCCAACCGAGCGGGTCATACAATTTCGCTACGAACGAAAGGATAGTACGTTTTGTTGGAGCAACGGGTTTGATTGAATTGAGGAAGTACGGCAGAGTTTTTCGATCCTCCGGGGTAGCCACGAGCTGTATCCTGGCATAAAGTCCACGGCAGGAAACCCAAAGTGATTTCAGATTTGTGAGACGCCCTTGCGTCTTGGGCAATGTGATATTAGCCTTTGCTAACTTCTTAAAATTCACGATGACTCTTTGCAACGTGTCGATTGTCTCGCTCTACTCGGCGAGTAAAACCTTTAACTCGGCCATTATAACCGCGAGTTAAAATTGTTGACAAAAAAAAATGTCACAGAATGAGCGTCACGGTTTTTCCTAGGCGCGTATAGCTGCGCCGTCGGAACTTGAGTTCGCGACGAAAACTTATTCAACGCATTGTGCGAGCAATTACGCCGACGGTGTTTTATTCGCGAACGATGTCGTATCAAAACGCGAGAGACATATATTTGTCCTCAGAAACCGCACTAAGTATACCGAGGCGCGGGATTACCAAACCGACGGGAACTTATTCGCGCACAACCGTGTGTCGAAACGCGAAAATATAATGTCTCGTTATGGACTGCACTAATTATGCCGAGACGCGGGATTACCGAGCCGGCGGTATAGATTTCGCGAGCGACCTTTTGTCGCAACACGCGAAGAAACAGTCTTTGGAGATCACAGTAAGCCGAGGAGTTTGAGCAGTTCCGACGGCAGCTTGAGCGCAGACGTCCTCGTCGACCGCGAAGAGAATTTCTCCTTTAGACTGCACAACACTAGCCGAGACGCGTAATGGTAGCATCGACAGCAATGAACTCGCGAACGATCTCGTCATAGACGAGTAACAGTTTTGAATCACACTGTAGTAACGCTCCTGGGCGCGCGACAGCGGAGCCGACGGCAATGAATTCGCGGCCGACCGCTTGTCGACTCGCGAAGAACAGCGTTATACAAAATTGCACTATCGTTTCTTGTCGCACAGCACAGCGAATGATTGACTGCACTTGCTTTTACGACGCGAAGCTCACTTTCACGTTTCGCGTGTTGATAGACTTTTCTCGCACTACGCGAAACGGGGTCTGCCCGATTCTACTTTAGAGAGCGATTAGAGCGAACGCGACAACGAATTTGATAACGACCTTTTCTTTCACACTTCTTGAGAGTCACACAAAAAAATCAATCCATACATTGCGCTGTCTTTCAGTTGCTAGTATCCGGCTCAAAGGACCATTCAATTCTGTGCAGAAACCTTCAATTAATTTTTTTTCTCACAGAACGGAAAACATTTATTTGATTACTGGTTCGACTGTTTGTACGGATTAGGAAGGATGTGATCTGGATAAATTACTCGTGGTTTGTTAAATGGGTGACTTTATTCAAAATAATTAAAGTGAAAGTAAACTTGATTCGCTATCTAGGCTTTGCTCGCGAAAAACTCCACCGAGCTCTTCGGGCCGACCTCTCTTCAAAATACGCAGGATCGACGGCAACGGCAGCCGATCGATCCTTCGCTTGGACGCGTGGCACGCGCGTGCCAAAACATGATTCGCTAGCGAGGCTCGAAGGCTCGAGACAAAGGCGCGTTTTTGTCAACTTCTCGCGCTCGGAATCGAAAATATGCGGAATAACAACTCGGCGGCGCATATATTTGTGACCTTGCTTTAGCATTCTCGCAAGGCTTTTATAATTTTAAACAACACAGTTAAATAATATCCTAATAATATTAAAATTAAGGAGTAACACCACTGTAAAATTTTCAAATAATCGATAATTTTTTTTGCTTAAAAAATCCTTTGAATCTTGGAGAATATGGGGAAAAAAGTTTAATACTTAAAAAAATTTTTCCTTGAAATTGCGAGCTTTTTACTGAGCGCGCCGGACTACTTCGAAACGACTACCTGCGTCGGTTGGATACCTGTTGAGAAGATATTGCCTAATGACTTATTTGTTGTTGTCGAGGAAAGAGATTGAGGAGGAATATTCCAACGTAGAAGGGTAGCTTTATGGTCCTGGGATTGCAGATTAATGGTAAAAACTTTTTAAAAGTAGAATTCTTCATTTTTTCATGTCTATAATATTTTAAAACTATCAACGCGTTTTTCTCGAAATACAATTTTTGAAATTGGCACGCAGCATAACTCAAACAATTTTCATACTTTTCATTCGAATTTTTCACCATATCTTCAAAAAAACATTTTGAAGAGAAATATGTAGGGAATTTTCGATAAGTTGATTTAAAAATTATTTATTAATAAATAACTGTTCCGTTTTTGGTCGAAAATTGAACAAAATTATTCAAATATTCGCCAATCACACAAAATACAATATTCATAAATAAATGTTGATCGCCAGTGGCAATTTAAAAATAATACTGAGACAAATTACTTTGACCAAAAACAAGCTAATTTTTTTATTAAAAGTAAATGAACATACGTTTCGACCAACATTGTGGCGGCCCTTTTCAAGTGTTATTCTTATTCCGCAATTACATTAATCCGAAACGGAAACGTGAAATTTTCACCTG